CTGTCTGTTATCTGTCCAGATCCCTATAAAATAAGACTGTTCATCTAATTTTAAAACGTTTTTTTATAATAGTAAGCATAACCTCTTTCGTAGCGCCCGTAGCCCTCCTGATGATTTGGTCGATCTGGTAGTGTTTAGTTTTATGGCTTTTGCGTCCCATGACTTTCCCGTCCTTTCTGACAACTTATGAACTTTATGCAAAAGTCTGTCACAATCCACCGATTTCAATCTAAACACGACATTTAGCCCATATCTTTCTAGATACCCCTAAATAAATCCTCATGGCTCTGTTTTGGATATTGTTTATAAGTCTCCGTCTGTCCCCATATGGCAGAGCAATAAAAAAAAAGTATGGGCTCTACAAGAGTCTCGTATAGTTTGGTAAACTCTGTATAGGACATCCCACCGGAACTAATATTTGGAAGTAAGTGCCCCTAAAGCTCTTCCGGCCGATTTAGAAAGCTCCCTTACCGCGAGTTTTATGTCTAAATGTTCGTCGAACCAAAGTCCTAGGTATTGATTCTCCCTCGCGATTTTTAGCTGTGTACTGCCACAGTGGAACGTAGAATCCGTAATAGGAATGGATTTAGGCGGAAGTGCACCACATTAGTTTTTCCCCGGTTAATAGATAGTCTCCATTTATAACACCAATCTGATACAATATCGAGCAGCCTTTGAAGCTTATCGGGGTGGGACGCTATAAGCGCGATACCATCCGCATATAACAAAGAGCAAATGCCTATCCGGTCCAAATTAATCCCGAGGTTGGAGTCTCTCAACTCGGTTATAAGATCGTTGATGTAAATAGAAAAGATGGCGGGCGACGTCAAACATCCCTGTTTTAAACCACGATCAACGTTGAACCCCGCTGTCAATACATTATTCGCTCTAACGTAGCATTTTAAATCTTGATATAATGATTGAATGGATGTGAGGATTTTCCCGTGCACACCGCACGAAAACCGTTCTGTTCATCTGCCAGCTTTCCGTTATTTTCCAACCACGTTGTCAGTCTTTTCACGGCACAGAGATAAGTGTTATGCCTCTGGAGTAAGAGGCACCCGTGGGTCAGTACTGTTTGGTTTATTTAACGGGTTAATTATCCACTATTCCATGGTTAAATCATGCCGAGATAATAGTAAACAGCATCCTTACACAACCTTCGTTCTTTAGTGCTTCCGGTGGTATCGCATCTATTCCCGCGGCTTAGGTCACAGTACGAGAATTTGGGACACACAACAATGATTCTGTCTCAGACCGCAATGGTCGTGACGGCTGATACAGGGCAACAAGCTCCTGTAGGTACTGGGGAGCTGTTCCATTAAGTGCCTTGTATGTGTGTACACCAAAATATTGTACTGCGACCGGTATCGTACAGGTAACCAGTGCAAAAAATATAGCACAGGTGTGATGTGCTCTCTCTTTCGAGTACGAGTAATCAGCCGTGCTGCAGTGTTCTGGATCATCTGCAGACGACTAGTTAGTTCAGGTAAAATACTGCCGAACTGGTCAAATACTGCTTAACTGAAGAAATACTGCCTAACTGGCAAGTCATCTTTTCAAGCGATAAAGTATAATCCAATCTTAGAACGCGCTCACTAGTTCAGCAACGTCGAGCGTGGTCATTAACTTGATGGTTGTCCGCTTTCACGTTACTGTTATTTTATTTTCTTTATTCATAAAAGCAGTCGGATATATTTATTGTGTCACTGTCTAGTAACGAACAAAATGCTTACCTAGCCTGATACTTTATACAACAACAATATGTTAATTAAATTTCAGATGCAACTCGAGCATGTGACAAAGCGTCTGGACAGGAAAATATTCAGGAAATGTCCCCGTTTGTATAATACAATAGTAACAAACCAACTTTTGACATCCACTGGAATACCATGGCTCTTAAATCGTAAATGACTACCTGACACTTATTCTTAGTGTCGCCATTTTAGTTTGTAGCACTCTTTTCTGATTTGATAGTTTGCCGGGGTCTATAGAAATATCTGCCGAAGATAACTCAAATTAATATCTCTCTTCATAACAACAAAGATGACGTATGACTCACGCGTTTGAGTTTTGCCAATCATTCACGGGATAAAAAAGCCTACAAGCAATATAAAACGACAGCAAATTCAACGAAACAGACAATGAGGGGGTCGCTAGGGTGCTTATTACAAAGTTACAAATATTGCCGAAAAGGTGTCCCGTAGGGGCTATTTTAGAAGCAGTAAAGTACAACTCAAACTCATAATATGCCTTATGATTTTGCAGAAAAAAAGCAATAAAAGATTGTCAGAGTGAGGAGGGGTCTAATTGATCTTAGGCCCCTTTGATCTGTATAGACCAGACGGGGTCTATGAGCCCGTAGGTTCCCTCCTCACCCAGAGAAACTAATATTAACGGACGCAGAATTACATGCCTTAGGTTCATCTTCAAAGGCTAATTGCTAGTATCCCCGTCCTCGGCCTTGTCAGGTAGCCGTGCTGTAAGAACCTGAGGTGTAGTTGGTTTGTAACCCGTACTGGTTCGCCCTATCAAGAACTTTTCCTTTTTCATAATGTTTAAAATTGCGGGCACTATCCGAGGATCTTGAGTTGAAACTGTTATCCTCAGCTTCACCCTCATCCTCAGAACTGTTAGACAGAGAAGATATCTAGGGTCTAGATTTTGCCAGTCCTCGTCGGATGCGTTGCCAGTTATGATTGAGGGTTTCTCTATAAAGATTGCCTTGTCACTCCGTTCCTCGTGGCAGATTCATGCGATTTATATGAATAACTTGGGAAGTCCTTCCCTGTCGACCATACCCGACTCTGTAAATAGCATCAGTTATTTTTGACACACCCTGAATGGCCCCCGCCCACGACCTGTTAAGTGTGCGAGACTTTACTGTTTGTACACTTTAACATTTGGAAAGAACACAAACACTTTGTCCCCTAGCTTGAATTTTTGCCAAAACCAATTCTGGTACGTGGTTCCGTTTTTGTCTCAGCTTGGCTCCTTTGGTAAGATTCATGACCACACGATGAGCCTCTTCCGTACGCTTCTGTACTTTCCCAGCTTTCTTGTTTCCTTTGGAGTATTCTGTATAGTTATTGGCATTTTGTGCTGAATATCATGTTGAGGGCTAGTTTCCCTTCCTAGTATCAGGACATTTGACAACCAAGTTGTTGTCTCATGTTCGGTGGACCGATATGCCACCTTGACAAGGCAACTGCTGGTCCCAGTCAGTTTGATGGTCATTCACGAAAGATTTTAGCATGGATACTAATGTCCTATCAAATATTTTCAGCAATCCATCTGACTTTGGCGAGGAACACAGCAACCATAGATTGAGACCCTAGGTCAGAGTGTATCACCTTTGGAACGCCAAATCTACACACGATCTTTTCCGCCAGTATGCTCTGTGTCAATTGTGTGTAGTTACCCACTACTACTTAAATATGCAATCCCTTGCTCCATTTTGAGAAGTTCACACAAGATGTCAATTGCTATCGTCTGCTGTAATAGAACCGCTATTTCCACCTTCTGCATTGGAGTTCTTTTATTCTGGTTCTGGTTTCCTGTTCTACTTCCTCTGTTTCGAAGACGGTATTGTCTTCAGTAAAAATGAGCTTGAATATGCTATAAGAAAAGATTACCCTGAACCCTATGTGACAATCAAGTTTCGACAATATTGGGACAGGTTTCTTGAACCAAAATTAAAAGCATTTGTCATTGAACCTTTTCGGAAAAAAATTGATTTCAAAATTGCGGACAAACAACAAACTCTAAATCAATAAACAACAGCCTGAAACAAGTAGCCGACTTCAAACAACACCGATAACCATAATTAGTTGAGAAAATGGCACTAGTAGGAAACATTCAAATTATTGACCTCCGAAGGGCATTGCATGGAAGTTTCAACTTCTCATAACACACAAATTTCAAACCTTTTCTAACTTTCGAGAGATACTTTGATCAATAAAAGTAATGAGGAAAAGGACATATATATCAAACACTTTCTGGCAAAAAAGAAAACAATCAAAATTCTGGACTCAAAATTTGTCAAGTCAACAACTTCAGCTTTCCAATGTCCACCACCAAAACAGAGCTGCGGGGAAAATCCAGGCCAACGTCGACGGTTCAAGTCAAGAAAAAAAAGATAGATTGCCACTTTCATGTAACCCATCATTATTTCGTATTTTAATTTAAATTGTCGTGCAAAACCCCTTCGTTGATAACATCTATAGCCAAAATGCATATTTTTTGTCTCAGTTTCTGCGTGTCGGAGTCATACAAAATAGTGATCTAGACATTTAATTGCATTTCAAAGTACGAATATTCATATTTCTCATCTTTTTCATCTTAAATGGTATGCTCTATGTAGTATTTATGTATATCTTAGAATATTAATATTGATCAGGTCAAAGTTAGGCATATTTTTTGTCTCATTTTCCGCGTGTAAGAGTCATACTTCATGGTAATCTAGACATGAAATTGCATTTCAAAGTAAGAATATTTGTATTGTACTTATCTTTTTATGTGTCTTTTTAATAGTATTGATAACTAATTATTTCTCATGTATCTACTATGAAGTTAACTTTTTCATATATTGTAACAGTCTTTGTAATGTAAATCTATTTAAACAATAAGTCCGTTTAACTTTAAATTCATGTTGTTATCAATTACTGCGTAACAAATGTTTTAGTTATATATTTTTAATTCTGTGTTAGTTTTATTTAGTACACTCAGTAACTGTGATGATGAAATATGTTTATCTGTGAATTGTTTGTATTTATAAACTATACATAAACAATGTAACGTTACCTTGATCACATTGTTTATTGTATATTTTGTTCATCATATTTTTTTTTAGTATTTGGAAATCATCTAAAATACTTACTCTGTGCTGTGCATGACCTCCTACTCTAGACAACACCATCATGTATCATCTGTTGAATCATAATTTATCCGCCATTTTCTCCGAGTTTTACCCCATGTCGTTCGTGAGCAATGATCTTGATCACAGCAACGTTTCAAACCTTTGGCGTATTTACAAAAAGACGTTGTGTCGTCGTTTTACAAAATACACATGTGCAAGAAGCGTGTTGGTAATAATGTCCTCTCAGAGCCGACGTGTAAGTTTCGATTAGTAGCAATTTGTAATCATCACAATAATAACATATAGGCGTTGATGATAATCCTTGGATTATCCAAGTCGTTCCTTACCTTAGGGACCGGTTACCCCTTAGGGACCTGATAATTTGTTACAGCAAACTTATCTTTCGCTGAACTGTAGTTTACATCGATGTTATTTTTTTTTTAGCTTTGAAGATGTCTTGACTGGATTTCATTAATTTTTTTCTTTGGACCTAAATTGTGTCATTCAAAGTTTAAAACGGTTTAGAGGTGTACACGACTACATGTAGATAAATATTCGGTAAAAATGCCACCAGAATGATGTTCTACGAGAAGGCAGAAAGCTCTCGATGTCGAAAATCGACCCCAACTAACTTCTGCATTAACAAACACCCTGCAGGTCGGGTATCGAGAAAAGTATCGTAAGAGGCGACTAATGTCGTAACCCTCTGCAGAATTGGGGATTTGTTTTGCACTCTACGTGGGGAAACAAAAGCGACCAAAATAAATCTGCTGCACCCATTGCAACATTTGGGATATTCAATTTTCTTTCCTCTTCTAACTACCTTTTATTTCCTAACGCCTAGCTTGACAATACCTCACTTCTGGCTTTCATGTTGAGTGTTCGCCCAGGTGAGGAAGGCAATGCATGAATGGGTTGTGTCCCCATGCCGGGACATACCAAAGTCCTTAAAAAGGGTAGTTGTTATTCCCTGCTTAACATTCAGCATTGAGGGTAATGGCAACAACTGGTTCACCTGTTGTCAGTATAATGTGAATGGGCAGATACTGTGCTGTGTGCCTTTGGCATGGTGTTTCAGTGAGATAGCACTATTAAGTCGGAATCAGATCTGGGCTATTACAAGGAGGCAAGTACACCAGCATACCCTGTCTCCTGCATACATACACACTTGCACGCATACATAACACAAATGGAGACACCTCCTTAAATGACCTTAGATGTTAATAGGACGTTAAATAAAATAAAACCAAACCAAGCATTGACAAATCTATTTCAAGTTGATGTACAAAGAAATACTAACCTAGCCTAAGAAACCTCCTACATGTAAGCAAAATGTATTCTCCTTCCGTGGACATGATCTCTGTTTCCACTGACATCTCACAGTTTTTGCATCATATATATAACTACCTTTCATTTCAAGCCTGTCAAACTACAGACCCCAGCTGATCGATAGCATCTGCTGGTAAAATATACAATATTATTCCCAACCCTACTATATATCGACGAGGTATTACACTCCAAAAACCATACACAGGGGTTATAGCTTCTATTCAGCTTGAGATTTTTAAGTTCAATCTCACAGATTTATAAAATACATGCATGGTGAGATATATGTAGTCTACATGTATACGTCTCTGGTTGAGGTAACGTGCCTCGATTAAGTATCCGCTAATATCAATGCATGTCGTTGTGTCACGTGTCAATAATATTTTTTAACAAAACAGGACCATATCTGATTGGTTAAAAAAACTTACCATTTTGCCAACCAATCAGGTGGATTGTTGAAAATTAACAGCAAACTTCCGTCCTGACTTGAGTCATCTCTAACGGGATCATATGTATGGTGGTTCTGTTAATGTCACATATAATGTTATCAGATGGGCAGGCAGGCGGATGGGTGTGCACAGTATTCACTCAATGTCTCAAGAAATTTTGGACAAAATATAAAATAATGTAGTTTCTGTTAAGTTTCAATCTTTTCATGCATTTACTTGTCTTTGTTATATGATTACTCTAAGTGAATGCTACATAACCATGGAATATGTATTCACCGTGACGTCCCTGTAGGACGCTTCTTTATGAAGTCATAATTATATAATATGTTAATATTTCAGAGGAAAACATCGGAGAGACAGTCTGGAGAGTCCTCAGATGATGAGAATTATGTTCCTTACATACCCATCAAACAGCGTAAAAAGGCACAGGTAAACCAACTGATACCTGTATACTGCTATACCTATATTATATATATATTATATATTGTGGATATTTCACCTGACAATTTAAAAATTTAAAAAGCAAATCAAACAATGAGTGATAGGTACTGTACTTAAAACAGATTACAGTTTTAAAACACCATCAAGTTCTTTAAAAAGAACAATGAACCCTGTGTACTTATATGTTGTGGTTAAAGCTATATAAAGGTAACATGATATCTATGTACAGTGTATTTGTATGAACTTGGAGGCACGAGTGTGCAAGATATCATTGAGGCATTTGTACAGTTTATCTGCAGTAGGTAGATCATCTTGATGATGTAGAGAAGAAAATACTTGTCATGGAAAATCAACAGATAGGTGGAATACACAACACTGACAATAATATTTACACATTTATATATACCGTATTTAACCTAATAAGGCACTGTGTGCTTACAAAAACACATGAGGTGCACTGTACATGTATGTGTGCTTAATAAATCCCTTACATGCTCAAATTGGCCAAAACTGACTGTGTATATATGTACACAACTTGGGGGTGGAGACCCAACGTCCCTGCAAGGAAGTCAGTTCCATAGTGGCGGTAGGGATCCTGGGGTGGATACCTCAATGGTATTGAACAGTGCTCATCAGGGAAAGCAGAGCAAATGAAAAAAGAAATGATGAGCAACAACACCACTGAATGCGGTACAAAATGTTATGTTTGATTTACATCCTACATGCTGACATGTTTCGCCCAAAGGGAGGCCATCTTCAGAGCACAGTTACATGATGTTTGCAACTATGGTACAATGACAATGACAACGTGTATATGCGTGTTCGAACGGTCTCAAACCGGCCTCTCAGTCTTGTTTACAGTTGCCATGTTGTTGCTACGAAAGTGAGTCAAGTATCTGTAAGTTTTTGTGAGATCTTGCAGCAGCAGAACTTGAATGGCTGCGCACTGGTCGTGTTTCAGTGAAAAATCATGATGTTGTCAGAGTTTTTCAAAGACAAACGTGCCCAACAGTGTGATCACTGATAAACAATGGCGGATGGCACAGACTCAAGTGGTGATGAAAGTTTTAACAAATTTAGATGATAAATATTTGAAGTTAGTGACAGAAATATAATATAAGAGAATGATTGAGTTTATATATATATGATAAGTTTGACTTGAAACATTTGTGCAATCTTACAAATCACGAATCAAAAAACTTTATGGAGACAATTGGCCTAACCTTGATGCTAGACCACTGGCTTATATTGCCTACGTAATGTAAAGACTAAAGAGCAAAGTTTCTTTGGTCAAAAGACTGAAGATTTTATTGGAAAATTAGAGTAAATTTGGGGGTTTTATAATAGGGCCCTTCTCCTTGATGATTTCTGTTATATTTTCCAAAAAACAATGCAAAAATCATTTTCTCTTATCAAAATTATGCATTTTGAGTTTGTCATTTTCCATTTAGCAATGCAAACTCAAACTGTCTACAAACAGACTTCCGATTTTGAAAGTCGATTTCAGTAGTTGAATTCAACCCTGCTTATTATCATGGAAAATTGGTAAAGGATGTTGAAAAAAAAAAAAAACTTTGAAGTCAAATAAAAGCGTATTTGTGAGAAGGACAATGTGTAAACCAATGTGTATTGTAACAGTCTGCCCTGTGGTGTTTAGTTACAGCATGTGGAAATGCGACTCGGACGAGCTGCCGCCCTCATCAAAGAAGAAGAGGAGGCTCTGAAGATCAGTACATCTGAAGGATCCGACGTCTCTGACAAAGAAGACAGGGATAGCAGTGATGACGAAGAAGAGGAAGAAGAGGAGGAAAATCAACAACCAGGGGAAAGATCACACATCAGTCTGCTCGATCAACACAGTGAACTGAAAAAGAAAGCTGAAGGTAGGACATCACAAGATGTCTAGGTAGTTCAAAGAATGCTGTAGGTAGGACATCACAAGATGTCTAGGTAGTTCAAAGAATGCTGTAGGTAGGACATCACAAGATATCTAGGTAGTTCAAAGAATGCTGTAGGTAGGACATCACAAGATGTCTAGGTAGTTCAAAGAATGCTGTAGGTAGGACATCACAAGATGTCTAGGTAGTTCAAAGAATGCTGTAGGTAGGGCTTCACAAGATGTCTAGGTAGTTCAAAGAAAGCTGTAGGTAGGACATCACAAGATGTCTAGGTAGTTCAAAGAAAGCTGTAGGTAGGGCATCACAAGATGTCTAAGTAGTTCAAAGAAAGCTGAAGGTAGGGCATCACAAGATGTCTAGGTAGTTCAAAGAAAGCTGAAGGTAGGGCATCCCAAGATGTCTAAGTAGTTCAAAGAAAGCTGTAGGTAGTACATCACAAGTTGTCTAAGTAGTTCATAGAAAGCTGAAGGTAGGACATCACAAGATGTTTAAGTGACATCCCAAGATGTCTAAGTATTTCAAAGAATGCTGTAGGTAGGACATTTTGAAATGTATGCTTTAAAATTTCAGAGAAAGCTTTAGAGTGGTTGTCAAGGAATTTCCAGAAGGTTTCTGTGATATTTGGATTGTGTAGTTCATTTAGCCCTAATCTTAAAATAGACCCCCAAAGAAGGCCAGATTTTGGTGGAGAAAGAAATAATTGATTTGCAATAAATGTATTAACATCAGAATCAGTTAACCTGCATGAAAGGTTGATAATTATCTTTTATTTCATCTAATTTCAGCAAAGAAAGAAACAGCCAGAGAAAAACTACTGAAAGAGGAAGAAAGAATTTTAGAAAGTGTTGCTGAGAAAACAGGTATTGACCATTATTTACCCTGGTTGTAGAGGCAATGTTACGGACCGCGTGATATTTGAATTTGGAGTTGTCTCTCCTCGCAATTTGTTGTTGATATGTATATCTTGCAAAATATAAGTGGTATGCAGTACTCACAATACAAGAATTTAGTATTGGTCTTACTGCATATCGATGGTGTCAGCAGATTATCTGTGTTGTAAAAATCTTGTTATACTGCCAACTAGCTCATTTTGGCATTTTATTGGGGTAAGGCAACAGACACGTTCCAGTGGTATAGCACACATGTGTGATCGCATTCTTAAGCATATATAGGCTAAAATAAAAAATTAAAATAGGGTGTTTCATAGAAATGTTTTAAAAAGTCAAACATTAAATTCAATACAGTACACAGGGGAGGTAACCTAGACTGCATCAATATTTTCCCAATATAGTATGGTTATCCTATATGTAATTTAGAATGCAATAAATGCTCCTGAACTCGACCAATGGCTTCAAGGAAAATATCAAAATAAACTGCCTTTCATTCCAACAAGGAATTACAAAAGGATTAGAACATGTAGTCCAATTCAGCCATACAACCTTATAACATGTGTTGAGGGAAATATCTATTTTAAAATGATTTGGGACCAACAGTGGAACCTTTCAATACAGGTGTGACACCAGATCTCTGGAGCATAAACCATGAATTCCTACCATCATTTTCCTCTCTTTTTTTTACGAGACTAGAGTGGCCAAAACAAACTGAAATCCAATATCAAAACAAATGATGATAAACAGAACTGAATTACATAGATTATAAAGCAGGAAAAATGGTACATCATGAAAACATGATAATAACCATTAAGCGACACAATCTGAATTGAAATATACTGTATAACTTTTGTTGGGGAATCTCTTAAGCTAAGTTATCTAACATCCTTCAGGTAAGTTCATTATCAATTTCACACTCATTTGTCGGGGAAGACAAAATTTAATTTTCACAACATTTCAGCTACAGTCAAGTCTCTTTACTCCGACCACCACAAATCGAGGGATCCAATATCCATCCAGGGTTTAATGGAACACATTTATTTTAAAGACTCCTTGTAATTCAGCCGATTTTAAATTCCGCTACCAAATTAAGTTGAGGATGATGTTGACTAGATTTTTGATGTTCCATTTATATTTGCTAATATTGTTGTTTTTTACTGACAGCTTTGATGGGTGTGGCTGAGTTAGCGAAGGGCATACAATATCAGGAGGCCATTAAGACAGGGTAAGTCTATTATATAGTGTTAGTATTGCTATGTAAATTATCCTATCCTTATAAGTGACCCATAGGCACCATAACTTTATAAGATCACCTGAGACGAGATGTGATTGCTTTTTGTCAGTCATATCATCGTGCGTTGTCTGTATGTAAACAATTCACCTTTTGACTTCTTAAAACTACCAAACCAATTTCTATAAAATTGTGCAGGTATATGTTCCATAGGCAGGTACTACACTTCTGGGCTGGTACCATGTTCTTATGGCAAGTGTCAGTAAGAGTTTTAGATGTATTATTAAAATACATTAAAGCCTCCTTTTTTCCCCAAAAGCGCTAGTGTACTATTGCTCAACAGATTCTACCAGGTTGTTTTTTTCTGGTATTAAAATAACAAGTAAATATCAAAATGTCACAGTGCAGGATGAACAGCTACCAGCTTAGCAAAGAAGGTATCAGCTAGGTAGAATTTTGTTGCAATAGAAATTCTCAATTAACTTTTGTATAATTATACAAACACATTTTATTGTTTATGTATTTGCAGGTGGCAGCCACCACGCTGTATTCGTGAGTTGAGCGAAGCGCGACACGAGCGTCTACGTAAGAAAATGCACATCCTGGTGGAGGGAGAAGACCTGCCCCCACCGATTGCCAACTTCAAGGAGATGAAGTTCCCCAAGGCCGTTATCTCTGGCCTAAAACGGAAGGGCATTACAAAGCCAACACCGATACAGATTCAAGGGATTCCAACTGTGTAAGGTCATAGGTGACAGGTCACAGTTCACAGGTCACAATTACAGGTCACAGGTTGAATAAGTTAACATCATTCTTTGATACCATTATAAAATATACAACTCACAGGAATAAGACGTAATGTTAGACTTGAATGTCTATAAATGTCCAAATAACATGTACTCTCCTTGAAATTTTTTTTTTTTCTTTCTAATAATTGATTATTGTGGTGTTACAGGTTGTTGGGGCGAGATATGATCGGCATAGCATTCACAGGATCAGGGAAGACACTGGTGTTCACTCTGCCAATCATCATGTTCTGTCTGGAACAGGAGAAACGCCTGCCCTTTATCAAGGGGGAGGGGCCCTATGGTCTAATCATTTGTCCTTCAGTAAGTCTATGTACCTACATTTCGGAAGGTCATCCTGCCAATGACCGCCACAACCTGTTCAGATAATTTGGAATCTCCTGCATTTGTACTGCTTCAATATTGAAAATGTTTTAAGATTATCCTTAAAAAACAATGTATTATAATACTCCTGAGAAAAAGAGATACTATAGCTAGTTTACATGGGTTATGTATACCTGAAACTTCACCCGCTCAAACTTCACCCGCTCAAACTTCACCGCTCAAACTTCACCCGCTCAAACTTCACCCACTCAAACTTCACCCACTCAAACTTCACCCGCTCAAACTTCACCCACTCAAACTTCGGCTCTTAATTGGTTAAAACTGTAGCAAAACTTTCCTTGTATACAGTATTAAAAGACAATTTGTATAGCACTGTTACCAAACTACTAATTTTGATGACTTGGAAAAGTTAACGTACTGAAATGACAAATAATTAACAGACTTGCCCTGCATTATCACCATCTATGACCTAAATAGGTGGCCGAGTGGTTAAGGTGTCTCACATTCTGCTACCACTAGCCCTCCAGCACTGGGTCACGGGTTCGTGGCCTATGTTAGGCAGTCGCCAGATACTCACCGTAGGTCGGTCGTTTTTCTCCGGGAACTCTGGCTTTCCTCCAACACCGCCAAAACCCGGCACGTCCTTAAATGACCATAGCTGTTAATAGAACGTGAAACAAAAGCAAAGACCTATTTTTCATGGTTGAAAACCTAGCAGATTTTGTCACGGGGCTGTATAGTCTCATATGTCCATTGGCAACATTCAAACTATCAGATTGTGTCCCTACCAGATTAAATTCAGTAACATTTATATATTTAATGAAGTAAATCTGTGGTAACCGCAAAATCAAATTGCGTTACTTTTCTCCAGTATCTCTCTTTTCTTTACCATTCTGTAGGCCCCTCTGGTCAGAATCATATGACTGGATAAAAACCATTATGATCATGACTTTCCCCTGAGTTAGGACATTAAATTGACCCTTGTGTGGCCCCATCACTGTACATGTGGACACTGTTTTTATATGACCTTACATGTCACTGAACATGTAAAACCTAATTAACTCATTCACCCCTGAAGACTTCTAATTCAATGGTTGGAATAGTTCATTATGAAATTTTAGGGGTTAATGAGTTAATAATGAATACAATCAAGCAGACGATAAACATCCCTGAATTTGTTTCAGAGAGAGTTGGCACGACAAACCTACGAGATCATTCAGTATTACAGTCAGTGTCTGGTAGACGATGGTTTCCCCCAGCTTAGGTGTGGCCTATGTATAGGAGGGGTGTCGGTCAAGGAGCAGCTCGAGGTCATCAAGGAGTGAGTACCAATTACTGACTTTTAGTGAATTTAAGTTTATTTCAAAGTGAAAAATAAATATTGAAATTGTGAGAAACATATATTTTGAAATGCAGTTTATAATGAAGCAGATATTGTACTGTGATTCAATATTCCAAGATGACAGTTTCAGGAGTTTTATGAAATGAAGACTAATTACACATTAGGTATTTCACTGTTGACATGCACAGGTACATTGGGCGACGTTTCCCTTTGTTATTTTGTAACAAATGTTATTTTCTTTGTGAAAGGGGGATACACATCCTGGTAGCCACGACAGGCCGGCTGATGGACATGCTCAACAAGAAGATGGTCACTCTGGATGTGTGTCGCTACCTGGCCATGGACGAGGCTGATCGCATGATAGACATGGGATTTGAGGAGGATGTCAGGACAATCTTCTCCTACTTCAAGGTAGCTAATTATCCTGGCAAATAGAAGGAGTGTATTCTTGTTATATCCTAAATATTTCGATCAGACATATTTCACACTTTGCACCACTGTTTGCCCAGTGTGAGCTATTTCTGGTGATAGGGTATAAAGATTTGAGATTTTAATCAATCCTGTGTATTTGTTTCCCCTCTTCCAGAGCCAAAGACAGACACTGTTGTTTTCTGCCACCATGCCTAAAAAGATTCAGAATTTCGCTCGTAGTGCTCTAGTCAAACCTGTAACAGTCAACGTGGGACGAGCAGGGGCGGCTAGTTTGGATGTTATCCAGGAAGTGGAGTACGTCAAACAGGAGGCCAAGATGATGTACCTACTGGAGTGTCTACAGAAAACATCACCACCTGTATGTACATCAGACGATACAATAACAGTCATCAGCATACGATACAACAATATATCATCATACGATACAACAATATATCATCACACGATACAACATATTATCACACGATACAGCAATATATCATCATACGATACAACAATATATCATCACACGATACAACATATTATCACACGATACAGCAATACATCATCATACGATACAACAATATATCATCACACAATACAACA